GGGAGGTAAAGAATTCCATCAAGAAGGACAAGAATACCTACCTGAATGGCCTGGCCGAAAAGGCGGAGAAAGCAGCAACAGACGGGCACTTGCGGATTGTACATTAGACAACATAGACTCTTTCAGGTATGTTCAGCAAGCCCGCTCTATCAGTGAAAGACAAAGAGGGAAAGACTATCTTCAACCCAGAGGGGCAACTGAACCGATGGAGAGAACACTGTGATCAACTATTGAACAAACCACCTCCAGAAAACCAACCAGAAATTCTTCCAGCCAGAAATGACCTCCCAATCGCTACGGAACCACCTTCGAGAGAGGAAATTGCAGCGCTATAAAAGCACTGAAGTCCCACAGGGCAGCTGGTCCCGACCATATACCACCGGAAGCCCTTAAGGCAGATAAAGATGCATAAGTGGAAATTCTCTATGCTCTATTCGAAAAGGTTTGGCAAGAGGAGGAAATACCATCTGACTGGAAGGAAGGCCGCCTAATCAAGCTGCCAAAGAAAGGAGACCTCAGCAATTGTAACACCAACAAAGGCATAACACTCCTGTCCATACCTGGGAAAGTCTTTAATGGGATACTCCTGGAGAGAATCAAGCTGGCAACAGATGAGAAGCTCAGAGGAACCCAGGCAGGATTCCGCAAGAACTGATCATGTGTGGACCAGATTGCTACCCTGCACATCATTGTTGAGCAATCGCTTGAATGGAATTCACCTCTCGTGGTCAACTTCATTGATTATGAAAAGGCGTTTGACAGTATGGACAGGGAAACTCTGTGGAAACTCATGCGGCATTTTGGAATACCTGACAAAATCATCAGGCTTGTGAAGGCCACCTATGATGGAACAAACTGCCAAGTCTTCCACGAGGGACAACTCTCAGAACCATTCCAGGTAAAGACAGGAGTGCGACAAGGATGCTTGCTCTCATCTTTTTTCTTCGTACTGGCAATTGACTGGATCATGAAGGAAGCCACCAGAGGCAAACGTAATGGAATACAATGGATCCCTTGGCAGCAGCTGGACAACTTGGACTTCGCCGATGATTTTGCACTGCTCTCTCACACACATGCTCATATGCAAGAAAAGACCAAGGAACTCAACAGCCTATCAAGGAGTGTTGGCCTACGTATACACCCGGGCAAGTCGAAAGTAGTGAAGCTAGGAAAAGTGTCAAGCCCTGCTGTGACAGTGGAAGACATTCCCCTAGAAGAAGTGGACTCCTTTACCTACATTGGAAGTGTCATCGATGGTAAAGGTGGAACTGAGGCAGATGTAAAAGCAAGAACCACCATGGCAAGTCAGCATTCAAAATTAAGCATCAAAAGTCTGGAAAGCAAGCAAAATCTCATTGCGCACCAAGATTCGGCACTTTAGTTCCAATGCCAAGCCTGTGCTCCTCTATTGCAGCGAAACTTAGAAGACAACAAAGACAGTGCTGAATAAAGTCCAGACTTTCATCAACAGATGTATGAGGAGCATCCTAAGAATTAAGTGGCAGGATAGTGGGAAAGGACAGGACAAAAGGATATAGAAGTAGAAATAGGACTAAGAAAGTGGCTTTGGATGGGACACACCTTCAGAAAGCCCAGCGGAAACATCACAAGACAGTCACTGCAATGGAACCCACAGGGAGCACGAGGCAGGGGTAGGCCACGGGAAACATGGAGGAGATGAAGCTCACTTGGAACGAGCTAGGAAGGATGGCCCAGGACAGAGATAAATGGAAGGAGCCTGTATGTGGCCTATACCCTGCCTGAGGTGAAAGACATTGATGATGATTATTAAGATGTTAACCTGAATGTTTTCCTCCCCCCCCCCTCCCCCGTCCTCCCCCACCCCACCGCCAGACGTTCCTCTGGTCGCCACCAGGAAGACGGGGAGGACACGTCCATCCAGGACGCCATCAGACACATCAAGGACGTTCTGCGCATGCCCGCCGAGGACGACCCGGGGGCGGTGACCGAAGCCCCGGAGATAGCAGACGAGAGGACGGCGTTTGGGGAGACGGTCGTGGGCGCTTCCACCAGGAGGCTTCCTTTTGGTCAGTTGCGACGTTTTTGAATTATTTTTGTTTTTTTAACCACGTTTTCTTGTTTTTTCCCCTTTTTTGGTTCTGGTTTCGTTTTGGTTTAGTTTGATCTTGTTTCGTTTCTTAAGTATCGTTAAAGAAATTGTGAGGCATTGCAGTGGAATCAGGCGCTCATCAAAGTAATCAAAGTGAAGAAACTTGCATTTTTCCGCTGGTTTGTGAATTTTTATCAAACTTTTGTTTTTGGGCTCAACACCTTTTATGGCCATTAAAGAACTTATTTCTGTGTGGATTTTACTGAAAAACGTTGATTAAAGGCACAAAAATTGTGAATTTTCAGTTACCACGGACTCTTAAGCTAAGGAAATAACTAATCTTTGGCGGCCATTTTCTCATTAATTTTACCCCTGAAAACAGGTGACCCCCCACCTCCTTTATTCTCAAATATCTTGACTTGTATTTAAGATAAACGGATATTTTTTTATCCAATCAAAGACAAGTGAACAAGCTTTAAGATGATACTGATAATTCGATGTGCGCAAAAATTGACGAGAGCCTGATTCCACCACGCTGCCTCACAATCTATTTTTAAAAATTTTGTTTTTGTTTTGTTTTGTTCAACCCAACTTGTCTAAGATCACTGCCAGCTCTTGTGGGGGAGGGGGCTCTCGTTGCCTAGAGATTAGGGTGTTCGCCTCTCATTCGAAGGTCGTGGGTTCGAATCCGGGTAGGGACGGAAAATGTTTTCTCCAAAATTCGACTCCTTTCACGTCCTTTCCCGCTCTCTAGTTCTCGCAATGTTCTAACGTCTGCTTTGGTCTCCCCTTTCTACCCCCACCCCCTCACCTCCATTGCCGCCTCCTCTGGGCTACTGACTCTTTCTGCAGCCTTTCTACTGCTTCTCCTTGGCTCCTTCTCACTGCTGTCTTTCAGCCACACCCCTGATCCTATGGTAGGAAATTGCGACTCCGAAGGTACTCTATGTTATGTATCTTTATTGACAAGAGCGTTAAAAAAACATTTCAGTTTTGTTTGGAATACATTTTGAATGTGGTTTTTTTTCCCTTTCCATTTCCATGAAATTGACTCCACCTGACTTGTAGAAAAAGGTGCGAATAATAGTGTCCGTTAGCGTATTACGTACGTTATCATTATGACAGGTAACTGTTACAGATAGAGATTCAAGGAATATAGATGTATGTCAAGGGTCATCATCCAGTGCCAGATCTGCGACAGACATCGGCGATCATGATTTTCCATTCATTCCTTTGCTCGGATGCTCTCAGAAAAGCTACGTTTCCCTGATTTTTCCCTGATACCCATTTGTTTAGGTTCCCTAAGTATGTTGTTCTGGGCCTACCCCTGCCTCGCTTGCCCTCAATTTTGCCAGTGAGAGCTAGATGTTCAAGACCCTTATGTCTATTCAGGTGTCCCAAAAACTGCATTTGTCGTTTCCTGATTGTTTTTAACATTGAGCGTCCCACGTAGGCTTCATCAAGCACTACCTCATTTGATTTCTTTTCCTTCCACGATACTCTTAGCAGTCTCCTAGGTGTGAGAGCGATATTGATTTTAGATTTGTTGATGGTGGTGGTGGTGAGTGATGATATGGGATGGCGTTTATGCAATGTTAGTGTTGGTCCTATCTTCCTCTGCCCCAATGAGTCACGAGGGACGTAGGGGGCACCCTCTATCCCGTTCCCTACTGGAACCATCTTTACTCTCACTGAGGGAAAAAAGAAGTTGAATGTTACTTTTGCAGACGAGAGTCAACAAATGAACCAGACGATTAAGAAAATTGGAACAATCCTGGACGCCGGACGCTTGAACCAGACCCTGGACCGAAACACTTCCCAGACCCTCAACACAGTTCGCAGACGGCTTACGGGGGAGAATTACCGGGAGAAGTAAGTCTTTTGGACTAGATGAAGTGATGATGAGGTTAGATGAGATGATGATGATGATGATGATGATGATGATGATGATGATGATGATGATGATGATGATGATGATGATGATGAGATTAGATTAGATGATGATGATGATGAGAAGATGGTGATTTTTTTCTGAGATATCCGCATAAGTCTCTCTCTCTCTCTCTCTCTCTCTCTCTCTCTCTCT